GGTCGGCCCGGAGGAGTCGAATATGAGCCGCATCCTCACCGTGCCCCTCCCGAGCGTGATGGTGGAGGGCGCCATGCGGTCCGGCGAGGGGCGGCGGCGGGACCGCTTCGACTCGCTGCGGGTCGAGATCCGGGCGGGGGTGATTCTGCTCAGCCCCGCCGTCACCGCGATCGCGCAGGAGATCGAGTACTACGCCAAGGTCCACGGGGATCAACAGCGGCGGCGCCGCCAGGCGATCCTCGCCCGGGTGAAGGCCCTGGAGAGTGACCTCCCGCCACCCAACACGACCTTCCACAACTCGCTGACGGATCTTCTCCTGCCCGTCCCTCGCGCCTTTGCCGCGGCGCTCTGTGAGGAGGAGATGCGGCACGCCATCCAAAGTCACCTCGCCGGGGCGAGGGCCGAGGCGCCGGAGGGCCGCAAAGGCGCCATCGCGCTGCTGCCGAAATCGTGGTATTCGGCGAGGGCGTGGCGGCCGAATCGCCCCCCCCGNGTCGGACCCCACAGGGGGGGGGTTGGCGGGCGAGGAGGAAACGGACGAGGCGGGCGCCGACGCGTCCGACCCCGCGGCGACCTCGTCCACCGCGATCCACGTGACGTTGACGAACTTCAGCGTTCAGTTCACCACGGAGCCGATCTCCTCCACCGCGCTCACCGTGTTTTTGGACGAATTCGGCAGCATCGACGTCGTTGTGAACTTCTCGCGGGATCCGTCGCGTTCGCAGCCGAATGCGATCGGCGGTTGCTCCGTTTCGTCCATCATCGTCTGCGTTCAGTCCCTTCGGGCTGAGATCCAGAAGAAGCTCGAGGTGAAGTCGGTGGAGATTTTCATCTCCGAGGCAGAGGCCAGCCTGAGTCGGAGACGCAAGGGATCGAACCAGATCAACCATCTCGCGGTTAATTTTCCCTTTAACGCGCAGCAGTCGGATCCGGTGTTGGTGGTTCGCATGCAGCATCTCTCGCAGGTCTTTACCGTTCTCCAGCTCTGGACCGTGACGACGGGTTATACCCTGCAGAAGGTATGGGCGCTTTTTGCGCAGAGGGCCCCCGCGGATCTCTTCGCGCGGAGGGTGACCCGAATGCCCGTTTCGAAGCTTCTGTGGCACTCGAAAGCGGCGCGGCGGCCGGGGGTGCTTCGGAACGGCAAGCGATATTTGATGGTGCTGTGCATGTCGAATGTGCTTTGTCGGATGGATATCGGCTCCGGCAATTCCCACCAGCTCTTTCTCCGAAAGGCGCACATCGCCGCGGAGTGCGTGCAGCGTCCCTCCGGCTGCACGACCTACCTCTTGAACACGCACCTCTCCGTCTTCTCGGCCCGTTCCGAGGGGATGCTCTCGGGGGTTGCCAGCGTCGGGGATATCGTGCTGAATTCCTTTTTAATCCAAAGCCCGCCTGACGTCCCGGATCGCGCGCGTTCACCGGAGGGCCGGACCTTCCGAGTCGCCATTATCATCCGCAACGTCAACATCGTCTTCAAGGAGCGGCAGCTGAAGGACGTCTTTGAGTGCGAGGTCTCGGAGTTCTTTGTCGATGCGATGGACGGGCTAGGGGGGGATGGCGGGGCGACCGTCGACCTGAACGTGCTGTTGTCCAAGGGGACACTGGGGGTGACCCCCAGCACGATGCCCTCCTTCCTCACCCTCTTGTTCTCCATCAGCCGGACCGTCAGTGAGAAGCGACAGGCCGCACTGGGGGACCTGCAACGCCCCCCCCCTCCCCGGCAGTCACCCCTCAGTGCACGGGGCCTTAGCGAAACCAGACAGGCCGCACTGGGGGATTTGCAACAGGCCCCTCCCCGGCAGTCACCCTTCAGTGCACGGGGCCTCAGTGAGACCAGACAGGCCGCGCTGGGAGACCTGCAACAGCCCCCCCCCTCCCCTTGGCAGTCACCCTTCAGTGCACGGA